AGTCCTGTGCTGGACTTCGAGCTATGACCCGATGAATTCGAAGGTATCCTCCGAATGGATGGATTCGATGATGAATGGCGTATATGTGCGAATTCGTCTTTGGGTGGCACAGTCGGAATGGGAATCTCTAGGTACTGTGGTGGAGGAACTTTGGCGTCTGGGTCTGGGCGAACGATAATGTTGATGATCGTCCCTCTCGTTAGCTTGGCCGTCACGGCGGGCCAGGCGCTCTCAGATATTCTGACATGTCGCCCACCATGCGTAATGTCATCTAAAGCGAAGCCGATGCGCTCTCGTGGCACGTTGACGAGTTGGTCAAACTCCTTCTGAGCAATATCAACAGCTTGCTGAAGAATAGAGTAGATAAAACGGTTATTTATGAGGATTCCTGTAGGGCAATTGGAGGTGAAACTCACCTGATAGTTCTCTGCAGGCTTCACAAATACACATGAATGGTCATATTGAAATGTAACCACGTCAGCAGGAGAGGTAATAGCCTGCCTGTATAGCGGGGTACCGACAATAAGCTTGGTCGACGAATGTTGATTGTTGGAAGGCATGATAAGAAGTCCAGTGGCAGACAGGTCGAAGGCTTACTTACTTCTGTAACAGGACGTTTGCATCCTCTTTATATATGCTCCAGGAGACACTGCCTTTTACATGCTACAATGGAGCTGCGCCCCTCCGGGCAAGACTCGTGGTTGGCAGGCGGTAAAAATCTAAGATAAACAACATCGCGATTCCAGCTGCGTGTGGCGATGTTCCTTTTGCGGATATTAATAGGGTACCAGGTCCAGGTCCCTGTACAAGCGCTGACTGTGGCGGTCCAGGTATACTACTATCTAACTAATGTTGGCCCACGATTGCAAGAAGCATCGCATACCGATGATTCAAGTTTTCACTGCAATACATTTTAACATTCGCAAATTTATCATTCGTACACCTTGGTAACGCAGTGCCAACTTTATCCTCCATGATCGATGTGGGTCACTTAACTCAACGTGTCGTGAGCATGGCCTAAGTACTTGATAAATGAACGTGGTCGAGTGACAATCAGTGGCATTGTGGACAAGCGTGCACTGCACATGTTTCCCGCCATATTTCCATCTTGGCTATGCGCCGGTGAGAGCGGCGTAATCAGCCCGATATCTATTTGACATATACGGAATAACGAGTCATGGCGGCTATTACACCGATTACTTATGGTTGATTGTGAGTTGGAAGAAGCACTCCGAGGTTAAATGCATAGCAACATATGCAGAGCAAATATGTATTAAATTGGATGCGATGTGAATCAATGTGATTCACCCACAGAATAGACTTTTTCCATTCAAGTAGTCGTTCTCCGGAGTCGTATTTGACGAGAGTTCAATTGGTGAGGGTGCTCGTCGAATTCATGACTCTCGTCATAATGTACGCGGCGAAGTCTATAAAGTAAATATGTAGTTACAATATCATATAGCCAAGGGCGCTCAAACCAACAACGATAATATGCGTTTCTGGATCCAGTTGCAGAGTAGTGGGGGGAAGCCTGGAAGGCGCGTTGCCCTTGGCGAATGTCATGTACGCAAGATCGTATAACATATTCTCTGAGGTAAGATCGCCATGTTCTATGTCATGCTTCAAGAGCAAACCGTGACCTTGAATTGAAACCGGGAATCAATATTTTTTTCGAAACAAGGTATCAGTGTAAGTGCTATACTCACATGTTAAGGGCTTCCCATTGACAAGTTCATAGTCCGCACGGTGCACTCGATACAATGGAACTTGTCCAGATTCGATGTGCACTCTGTCCATAGTAGAAGGGCAATTTTTCCTCGGGCGTCGGGTTTCGTTAACGTCTGGGTAAAGCATACATTTAGTGATAAATTTGTCGAGAGCAACCTTCAACACACAGCCCACCTCAGACAACAATGCAAACCAAAAAGTGAAGATATCGCTTGTTGGATGGCTTGCAGTGAACATCAGTAATATGAAATCCTAGGTGTGACCACGAATGTTAGTGTTGTGCAGAGGCCATTAAATTGCACTGAAAAGCCCGGATCCGGAGAGATCGACGTTGATGTGACATGCGAAGGCCGCAGCTGTGTAGTAAGCTCAAATTCAAACTATGATCCAAGTATATATTAGAATGTACAGCCAAAAATACACACCGCTACACTGCATTTCTAGTCCCCTCCAAAAGATACGATACTACGCATCTATATCCCCCAGCAATGCAAATAGCCCTTGACTCGGTGCATTCGCCTTGGATCCCTTGACTTTGCTCGGAACCACCGGTACTGCTTTGTCTGCTTTGCTCTTCTTTGTTTTCTTTGTGGGTTCTGGCTGGAATGCATCAGACAGTCCCATCTCCGTGGTATCCCAAACACCGTTTGGAAGAGAAGGTGTAAAAGTTGCTGCTCCTGTCAACAGTCCGTGGAATGCTTTCCCTGACAGTTGATGAGCGTTGCTCGGCGCTCGTTCTGTAAGAAGCAGAGTCTGGGCGAGTTGTTCAATGGTGTCCATCGCCATCAGGACCTGAGCAGTGAGTTGAATGTTCCTGTCCTCTATGGGCGGTGGGTCTGATTTCAGATGATGGGCGCCAGTGATATCACTAGACGCCCATGTGAAGGATGAAAGGAAGGAGCGGGCTTCATTTTTTCTCCATCGTTCTTTTTCGCGCTCCTTGCTACCTGTTTCTTGCCAACGAAGATGCAAAATGTTGACAACCCAGCGAACAGCAAGTACTGCGAGAACAGTTTCGGACGGCAGTTGTCGCACAGATGAAATGTCGGATTGGAGTATGCGGAGGAAGATTGTGAAGCGATCTTCTTTAGATCTCAGAACTAGTGGCGGAGCATTTTCATCGGCGTAGTCGAAAAGAGAGATGGAGGACAGCATCATGGAGAGGGGCTTGACGTCGACTGTCTCTGAGGCTATCCTGGTTCCTCGTCGAAGGTAATCGGTAACAACTGGAGGACTGGTGGGTAGACTTCGATGGGAAATGATCGAAGCCGGAGGTTCGGTAGCTTCATCCTCTGATGAATCTTCAGCATGGAGGCGGTGTAATTCGCCTTTCAGTGGTGCAAGGAAGTCGGTGCGCACTGGGCTATCCTCGTCGTCGGACTCAACAACATCGATGAGTTCGTCGTCGTCGGACTCTTCATCGACATTTGTTCCTTTCACTGCCTTATCGCCTGTCGTACTGTCCGCAGCTATTTCGGCGGTAGGTAGACCAACAGTGTCGTCCAAAATAGTGTAAATCCATTCTCGGATCGGTCTTCCAATACTCCGTCCGACTGTCTCTACATCAGGATGTTCAAGGAACAGCCGAGCCCATGAGGATCCTGTGTTAAGAATGTCCATGCTTTTTGGGGAGAGCAAGCCACTCCGATACGCGTCCAAGTATTTTTCTCTCGCTTCGAGCAAATTAGGATCCGCTTGGTCCGACTTCTCAGCTTGAAGCATAACATTGTGGGAAATCATAGGAAGGATGGAACAGGCCTCAGGATCATGCAATGCGCAGACACTTGTAGCCCAAAGGCCTTCCCGACCGGTGACGTCTCCTCCGTACTTCGGGATGGCGTACTGTAAGGTGGCATTAACGATTTTATCCACGATGGCTTCAATTTCTCCGGAACCCATGGTCGTTGCTAGTCTTGACAAAAGAGCGTTGACCGTCCTATCAATGAGATCCATGACACTGCCAACTTGATGTCTTGCTTTTCGTCGTGGGGTTCCTGGTGATACCACGGAGTGCATCGTGCTTGCAACTTTGTCTATCCGTTGTGTGAGAGTGAGCTGCCGCTCAAAGAACAGAGCTTGGATCTTGCGAGAATTTGATTCGGATTCCTTGGAGAAATCGTTTCCGACAAGGGCTCCAAACAAAGGAAGGAGGCTGGCAGGGATGTTTAATTGCTTAGCCAGCGTCTCGGGACTGTAGGAGATGAAAGACAAGGACAACTCCTCTGTATTCTCTGGAGGCAGAAGGCCCCCTAGATTTTGAGGGTTGTGAACGGCCTTTCGTTTCGCTTTTGGTTTTCTCACTGTCTGAAAATCGGCGTCATCGTTGTTAACCGGCTCTATGTCTTCTTGCAGAGGTGTCTGCCATACCATCTCGTCCAAGGGTATATAGCCGCGGTATCCATCCGAGTTGAGGATAACGAAGTCCGAGTCGTTCCCGATGACGTATCCCCCCAGCCTGCCGGCCAATTCCACAGCATATGGATCGCCCTCTTCATCTGCAAAATGGAGTTCCAACCCGTCTGTTGTAGGTCGGAGTGTTTCCAGAGCGTAGATGCAAGCCGAGTAAGCAAGCGGTGGGAGAATGCGTGTTTCATTGAGGAACCTTCCAGTGGATCTCGAGGACGTAGATGTCCGAAAAAAGAGTTGCGCTGGCTGTACATGGGACTGGTTGAGGCGAGACACGACCGTCGGAAATTTTAAATCTGGGCATGCACCTACATTCCAATATAAGATGGAAAACCGGTGAAAACTTGTTAAAGAAGTTCACAAACCGTCAAATACAAAATATACTTGAAGTCCGACCTTGATCCAAGATTCGACAACATTTTTCACGAGACGCACAAACTCGACGTATTCCCCTCCATACACCCAAGGAAGATTGGAGCTCTGATACAGATCATAAATGAAACTTCATCTTATTGAGTTACATTGGCTACTGAGGACATATTTGACTCACGACCAACCATCTACCACGACGGGAACTGAATTCTTCGCTGAAGAAGAGAGGACGGTAGTGGCAGAAAGCAACCGTTTTTTCTCCCGTAGATATGTGGTCAGGCCGTGTACGCCCATGGTTATTACACGAGGCGGCTGGGATTCAGAAGGTAAAAAGACAGCGTTAACACATTGGCGTAGTGTGTGAATGATTAAGAGTTGTATATGACTCGCATTGACAGACTATGAGGTGCCGCGGAATCCACTATCGGAGTAAATCTAAAGTAGAGTACATAGCGTCATATGATCATATGACGAAAATCAGAGTTCAAAGTACAGGCAACGTGGCCGAGTGGTCTAAGGCGCTGGAATTAGGTTACCCTCTTGGGAAGCATTCTATCCAGTCCGAAAGGGCGTGAGTTCGAACCTCACCGTTGTCATAATGTTTATTGTTTTCCTGCAATCACTTTTTTTAAGGGGTCAATTTTTGTCTGGTGAGCTGAAGACCTTATAGTAAAACAATCAGGGCAACTTCAAGTTTTTTTTTTCCCATTTCGACTGACCAAATACGTCCTAGCACGTCGCGATCCGCTCCTCCCGAATCAGGCCACCACGGAAACAGTGTTTCGGGGACGTAGAACATCTTGTCGGGTGGGGTAAGACTATTTATCTATCAGAGAGCTCGTTCAGGCAGGTGGAAGTGCCTCGTCGACCGAAGAGTCTTCGCTAACTCTTAGGCGCCACTGTGCTAAATCGAGACGACGCGAAGCTTGAATTCTATTTTTAGCTGGCGCTTGCGAGGGCTCGGAGCTAAATTCGTTGGGTACCGTCGTTCTAAACAGCTTTAACTGTACTTAAGACAATCAATTGAATGTGATATGTGCTGTTCATTAACTAACCTCTCTCTTGACTTCGACCATGGACCCGACTAGCACTTGTACCGTTACGTGATCATGTTGTCTAGATTCATCCACCAGGACTTTATTCGAACATCTGAAAAAAGGTATGCTACAGAGGAATTTCTATTGTATATCACAAATCTCTGAAGTGACTCCTCATTTTTGAGTTCCAAAATATAGCAGGATCAGAAAAGTTAAAGGCATCCCACCGTCAGCGGCAGACTGCAGTCGATTGGGAAATCCTACCCCGACCTCCCTAATCCTATCTAATCCTAACAAGTTTTTTTTACGGGATCTTCGAGCTGAGACCTGTCGAAGCACGAGACAAAAGCGAGCTCCTGTTCAAGGTCTTGTACAAGTTGTCTTGCAATATGCAGAGCATCGGAGCGGAAGGGCCTGATATATCAGAACCTGGTACCTGCGCAGTGATGCATTATTGCAGTAGATTTATATATCACTTTGTGCATCGAATCCCCACGCCACAGCCAGGGCCGTCCTTCTTTCCAACCCCCATCTCCCTCGAGAGAAAAAGCGTCTACCAAATTTCTCTCATCATGCCTGCCTCCCGCTCCAAAAAATATGCGCGTTGCATAGGATATCAAGAAGAGGTCGTCAAGGCCCCTAAGGCCCGCCAACCGAAGAAGGCCCTCACCGAGCAGGAGAAGGAGGACGCCGAGATACAAAAGACCGTGCGCAAGACGACTAGGGAAGCAAAGAAACAATGGGAGGAGACTTTAGTCCCCTGGACCCCTAATAACGGCTTCCGCTTCCCAATTGGCACCATGGTAAGTTTCGTCGTATCAAAAATCGTTATTCCATCATTGACAGAGACGTTCTTAGGCATTATACAAGTCAGACGGTAAGCATGCTGCTGGATACATGACGGTCGCGTTACCCATGCTTCTAGTTCTGACACTCATCTATTGCAGCCAAAAGCGCGTACTCTGTTACCGAGAAAGAGATGTTAACCCTTCGATATGAATCCATTCCTGGGTCGGCCAAAACATTTTTTGCGCAGGAAGACGTCAAGAACCTGGCTCGTAGGAAATTCGAAGCGGGCGCTAACAAACTCGATGTCCGCTATGATCAGGTCAAGGGGGAGCTGAAACTTTTCAAGAAGATGGAAGACAGTAACCGCAGTCGCAGGAAGAATTTCGTGGCCCAGTTCTATGGATACCTTGACCCAAGTCAGTATCGCCATAGATATTAAGTTTGATCTATTTGTCTACAAATTCATTGAGCCCAATGCTACATCATAAAATAACAATTTATATATAAAGCAAATGTACAGTACCCAGCGAGATGATGAATGTCCCATGCAATGAGTGTGGTCTGGTCTCTTCGGAAAATCGTCGAGAAAATGATGATGGTATCCATGTCGAAATCTATGTTGAACCCTTCTTTCCGTCATCTTCTTCAGCCACATCTCGCTTCTTCCATTGCTCGTATGCACGAGAGCAGGTTCGTTGGGCGAGGACAAATGGTTCTTCAGTCTTTGCCTTCTCCCACACACGCTTGGCAAATTGCTTTTGCTCGCCCGAAGTTATACTCTCGTGCAAGATGCCCAACACCTGAAACGATGGCGCAAGAAGTTTGTTGATCCTGTCCCACACAGGAGGGAAATCGGGCGGTAGAGGAACCAGCAGTGAAAGTGAACTAGAAATATAAAATCAACATCGTTATTGGCGATATATTTGAGTTTGCTTACCTCGTGTCTGGTGATTTCGGTGGAACGATAGGCCCCCACCACTGAGCTCCTATTGGAGGGACCCGCTCGCCTTGTTCGCCAGCATTCTGCTTCAGTTGCTCCTGATAGTCGTGCCATACTTCCTTCCTACTCTCGCGGACCATATCCAGTTGTTGTTGGTTCTGCAAGTCGAACATCATCTTCTCCGTTTTCTGGAGGAAGGCCCACTGGCCCTTTCCGGTCCAGAGATACCACCCTTCGTCCCAGAACTTCGTTGGAGTTGCAGAAGGTGCCTTGGGACGGTCCTCGGAATCATCTTTTGGCAAGCCTCCAAGCATCCGTGGGAGATTAGCCGATTGGCCTTCCGCTGGGAGTGGATATTTGGCCTTTCCGTCGGGACCCACGCTTTGGTGCCGCTTGAAGGAGAGAATATTCCGAACCTCGTGAGGGAAGACTTTACGCAGACAGACGGAGTGACATTCGGGTTCCTTGCTGTGTATTCTACCACTGACGGTCTGCGAGCAATATGTAAAGCACCATTCGTCGACCTTGGGCGAGAATCGGCCTAGAGTTAAGAGAGCGTCTATCAATGGCCGTTCAAATGTAACAAAAGCGAGGCTTACCTTGCGGCGGGGTCAAGATCTTTATCGTCGGCCAGTCAGCGAAGGGTGGCTTGCGGACTCTTGGCTGCTGTTGTTGTTGCGGTGAGGGCGCGGGTGTCTGTTCAGTGGACGACATGAGGGTTAGAGAGAAAGCTGGGGAGTCATACGATCGGGGCCCATGCCGACAGATCACCGCCAGCCTTTACACATTACGTAATCACAGGCTGCAACTTTGAAGCGGCGCTTTAACACTACATGAAAATTGTCGCGTCCAACTTGTCTTCACATTTAATTGTGCTGTCCGAAGAATCGCTATCGCAGCTCGCACACAGGAAAGCTTCTCGCCTTCCACCTTCAGCTGTGGGGAAAGTCCCCGGAGATACAGAGCTTGTCCTCGATTATTGCATGGAAAGCGACCGGCTTTAAGCACGACGGTACTGGTCGAGGACGGCGAGAATGATTTGCCAGGAGTAGGACTTTGTCCCGCTTCTCGCTCCATCTCATCCACTCTGTGGCTTTTTCTGATGGTTTGCCGTCGATCAAGGCGCGGGTGTGCGAAGATACGAGCATGCCTATCGCTCGTCGGTATAATCTGAAGAAGAGCCCTTCGTTGCTCATAGACACAGTTATGCGATTGTTGATTCCTTTCAGGATTCATCAACTCAATGGGGCTCACTCTCAGTCAGCACTCTATTTTTTCCCCTCTGGAACTTCGTTGTTCCTTTTGCTCTCGGACCGGACAAGATTTGGCTTCAGGTGAGCAATCTATCTCCTTTGCCTTTATTTTCTATACAAACTTGCATGATGCGTTGGCTCTTTTGAATTTCTTCATGGTGTATACCCCTTGGTTCCACAGTGTCGTTGGGGGCGGGCTCCAGAACTTGACAACCCCTGATCTTTGATTCCATTTTTCCTTCTCACTTCGTGGAAATAACAGCTAACCAATAATTTTCTCTGGTTTAGAACTCTCTGGCACGGTATTATCTGAAGTTTTCTTCGGCTTGCTTCCAGCCTTGTTGTAATCGCTTTCTCAAAAATGTATACACTCTTTAAGTATGTAATGTATGTTTCCTTCCAACTACTTGAGAATGGTATCGATAAACAAAAATAAGTACATATCGCAATAATCTAACTTGTAGGTTAAGGCCATCATAGTTTTGCTTTGACGTTGTCGTCTGAAGGATCTCTGCCAGCCAGTTCCTCCTTCGCCCTTTCGCGGAGCTCTCTGCGAAGAATCTTTCCAGCAGCACTAAGAAGCCGAGGTTAGTTATTATAACAAAGTGTCGAGGGATGCTAGAAGCCCACTAACCTCTTGGGAATGACATCGACAACGACAACCCCTACAAGACGATGTCAGCGGTGCACAGACACTCATCGAGAAATTTTGCGAACCTCCTCTTAGATATTTGTGTCGTGCAACCTTCGATTGTATCCACTTCTTGATGCTTTCGCTGAAAGTAGCCTTCTCAGCTGGTGTTTTTACTGAATCAGGACGGGCGTGAACAACATAAGCCCTAAAGCCCAACACGCGTTAGTAAAAGGACAGGCATATGCCACGTAAACATCGCATACCTCGGGAGTTCTGTAGCCTCTTTCGCACTCTCCACACCAATCACAGCGCTATCTGCAATGTCTGGGTGCGTCAGGAGCACGCTCTCGAGCTCGGCAGGTGGAACTGAAAGCCATAGGTCAATACCAACAGATTTTGCATGGTATGAGAGAAACAAACCTTGGAATCCCTTGTACTTGATGAGCTCCTTGCGTCGGTCAACGATGTAATAGAAACCGTCTTTATCCCGAATTCCGATATCACCGGTCTTGAACCACCCATCTGCAGTTATCGCGTCTTTAGTCGCGGTCACGTTGTTCAGGTAACCCTTGATACACCAAGTCAAGACATAATTTTAAATAAAGTATAATGTGGAGCGTACCTTCATAATTGAAGGGCCTCTAACCCAGACTTCTCCAGGCTGTCCTTCCGCTGCCTCAATATCTCCATCGCCCTCGCCATCCACTACGAGGCGGACCTCAAGATGGGGAAGTAGGGATCCAATACTGCCCATTTTACTTTCGGCGGCGTGTGGTGGAACGATATGGGTAGTTGGCGAGGTTTCGGTGAGGCCGTAACCTGCATGCACATAAATTAGACCACAATACATAGGACTGCCTAGCTAAACGTACCTTGCAAGATTTTGAGAGGCCCGTTCCCTTTGAGCTGGGGTTGCAGCCTGTCAATCACCTGTTTCGATAGT